TGTTTCAGAATAGCAATGTATGGGATAGATTATATGAGAATGTCAAAGGAGATTTGATTTAAGGCGTCAGGTTCTTTTGTTAATTGTTTTGTTACAAGTCTACATGGTCTAAGGCAAGATAGTCCCATCTGTCTTGCCATTCAATAACTGTATGTCACACCCCATTGTGTATCAACAACAAATTATATTCCTTTTATTGTTCTAATTTTAGTTGGGGGCACAGGTGGCCCAGTCGTCTAAGGCGCCGTGATTGGCTGTGCAGTGTTGCGTCCCTTGGGCACGCCAGAAACCTATGATTGTGGGTTCGAATCCCGGTTCGCCTCGATTATGTTTCTAGTTTTGTCAGCACCATACCCGTGCTCGTGGGTCTTACCGAAGTGGTAAACGTCTGAGACCTGCATCACTTCGAGCTTTCCTCCCACATTAAGCTGACACGCCGTGATATAACTGGAATAATGTTAAAACTGTATTTAACCCAACTCACTCACTCACTCACTCACTCACTCACTCACTTTAATTTTAGTTAAATACATAGAGAAGCAAGATGTTAGGCAGTAGGGGTTTGATGCTCAAACTAAACAGACCTCTTACCCACAGTGCAGAGGGTTGTACCGACTCTCTATGGCACCCTCAGCTTAACTTAAGATATTGTTCATTGTTCATGTAAATTAAATTGTAATTGGTCTCTTGTGACTCCGGCTCTTTACGGACTAATTCCCCATGAAAACCAGCACACCATTTGGAACGTTCTGAACATGAGACAGAGAACCATGATGCTGGGATCCGAGTTCTTGAGGGTCTTGTGGATAGTTTTGGGGACTAGCTGGGCAGGGTAGCTGTTTAGGTAAGTGAGGGTTTTCAGTTCACTGCTGAGGGCATCAGGGTGGCAAATGGCTTTGGCATATCAGCTAATTACTCCCTGACTTGTTTGATAGACATTACTTAGAAGTTGACGGATGACAAAAGTAGACACAATTTATGAATAACAACTTCTTTAATTACTGTGAAGGTGATGTTTCGGTAAGGATCTATACCGAAACGTCAACTTTATATTAATTAAAGAAATTTTACCCATAAACTGTGTCTACTTTGTAATTGCCCCCTGCCTCTCGTTTGACCGTTGCCAGTTGTCAATCAGTTATAGTTTATGTCCTGCCATCACTTATCAGAGCCAATTGACTGTCAAGTGTTGGCTCCCATTTGTCCATTACTGATCACCTATCACCGCAGTTAACTGATGGCTTCCCTCGTTAAGTTTCCACCTTTGTTATCTTATTACTTTTGTTGTTCTTAGAGGTACATATATATGTTCTCTGCTTCATTGCATTAATTCCGCCGAATATGAATGAATGAATTGCATTAATTCCCCTGAAGATCCGTGCTAGAATAGGACTTCAGCAACCAATGCTTTCTGTAAAAGGTGACTATGTTTGTAGTAAGAGGCAGCTAACGGGATCGGGCGGTCAGGCCCGCTGACTTGGTTGATGCATGTCATCGTATCCCAACTGCATGGATTGATGCTCATGATGTCAATCACTGGATTGTCTGGTCCAGACTCAATTATTTACAGACGGAATAGGTGGAATATTTTATTTTTAGAGTCAAGAAGGGTATTGTGTAATATAAGATTTCAGAGACTAGATGTTAGTCTAGGTCAGGGGTATTAGTGAGGCTTGCTCAATTTGTCTTGTTGTGAGCAGTGCCAGAATACATAAATATTGATGTGACGTGTTAAGCTTAGTTGACGGGAAAGTAGTCTCACAGTGTACAATCATGTTCTGACTAAAGGGGTAACTCAGCCAGGTAGAACAAGAGACGACTAGTACAATATACACAGATTTATTTACATGAACATCATATATATAAGTAGCTAACAACTATATACAACAATGGTGAGCATACATAGACTTCCCAGGGACTGAGCATGTTCCTAGGAAGGCAAGAACAAGTCTGAAGACACTTACTTACTTTGGAGATTTAACGTGCGCTTTCCATGTGCAATAAATAACACTATAGCGTATGTCACGCACGGGGTTGCACTTATACTATTGGGGGGAAGAAGCGTAAAGAATAAATAAAGAAGTGCAACCCCTAAAGATGTAAAAGTTTACAGTCTATAAAGGTTTAAAGGGGTGGGGTTTGGCTGGGTGGGAGTGGGGGATAAAAAAGAATGCCATCATATGGAAAGATTGGGCTTGGGTGGGAGGGGGTAGGGTCAAGCAGTTGAAGGCAGCGTCGGGGCTGGCAAGCGGGTGGCTAGAAGCTTAGCGGCGGTGTCCTGCAAGGAGTCTCTTGGTCCTGTGCTGTTCCGCAGGGATGGGAGACTTGAAGAGACTCTTGGCGAGGAGGGCTGCGGTGTTGGCGACGAAGTGCCTGTTTGTCTTGATTTCGCAATCTAGGAGGAAGTCAGATAATTCTGAGAAGTTGGTGATTTCGTACTCGTACTCCTCATCCTCTAGACATTGCACCAAGACGAGCGGTGCATCTTCTCTGGCGTACAGGTGCCCCGAGGGGGTGGAAATGTAATCAGCGGGGAGGTCAGGGTTGGCCTTGTAGTAGTTGAGTAGTAAGTCCGCTTTCTCTAGTAGAATATCACGGAAGCCCTGTTCCCGTGGGGGGTCCTCGACCGGAGTGGTCTGGGTTTGTCTGTGGTCAAGATTTGGCGGCTCCGGTGTGACTGTCTGGGCGGAGCTGTCAGTCAGTGAGGGCGGTGCTGGTGTGGCTGTCTGGGCTGAACTGTCAGTCAGAGAGGGCAGTGCTGGTGTGGCTGTCTGGGCGGAGCTGTCAGTCAGAGAGGGCAGTGCTGGTGTGGCTGTCTGGGCGGAGCTGTCAGTCAGAGAGGGCGGTGCTGGTGTGGCTGTCTGGGCGGAGCTGTCAGTCAGAGAGGGCGGTGCTGGTGTGGCTGTCTGGGTGGAGCTGTCAGTCAGAGAGGGCAGTGCTGGTGTGGCTGTCTGGATGGAGCTGTCAGTCAGAGAGGGCAGTGCTGGTGTGGCTGTCTGGGCGGAGCTGTCAGTCAGAGAGGGCAGTGCTGGTGTGGCTGTCTGGGCGGAGCTGTTAGTCAGAGAGGGCAGTGCTGGTGTGGCTGTCTGGATGGAGCTGTCAGTCAGAGAGGGCGGTGCTGGTGTGGAAGTCTGACACTCAGCAGTCGCGGTTGTGGTTGGTCGGGAGGAAGGTTGAGCTGAGGGGATGTCTCTCCTCTTCCTGTTCTTCCTCCCATGGCCCATACCCTCAGGCGAGCGAAAGGGCTCCTCCCCTCTGTATTCGAGGGGAGCGAGTTCCAATTCTGCTACTGGGGGCAGGGGGATAGAGGCAAGGGTCTCCTCAATCTCCATGACGGAGACTGATGGGGACTTCTTCCTCCTTGGAGGCCTGACCTTCTGAACCGAGCGAGGTGCAGGAAGGGTAGGGGCTGGAGCAGGATTCTCCTGAGGTTTGGGTTGAGCAGTGGCTTTGCCCAGAGGCCTGTTCCTCTGACCTAAGTCAAAGGAGATGGAGAGGGTGGAGGTACTTGTCTTGAAGGATGTCATGAGGGAGAAGTCCCCTACCTGGTAGGCCAGCAGGGGCTCCAGGATGGAGACAAGCTCCCTCGGCAGTGACTGTGAGAGGTCTCTCATAGTGTAAGTGTAAGGCAGCGAGCTTGGGAGGACACGTCTAGTCGAGTGTCCAAGCGGAGATGTGTAGACACTTCTTCCGGACATATTTATACTAACTTATATGTGGTATACCATGGGTTTGGGTAAGTTGACCAATCACAACAAAGTTAGGTTGTGTTGACAGACCATATAAGGGATTATCATTTATGTGAATGTTTTTATAAGGTTTGGAATTATTTGGAACCGTATATCTTCAAACGCTAACTAGTTGGCAGGTGACATCTATTGTTTTAGTTGAGTAGGTCTAGGTAATTAGGGTGCTGTCTTGACTTGTGGAATACACAGGTAATTAAGTGGCAGAGACAATGTTATTTTAGGGTAATGTTTATTTAGTTGGATAATGGGGATTCAGGTTTGTTTACATTGATACTTAGACACCCAAATCAAGTCATAGCTTACATGGCATTTAGATTAACATTATTTCAATAGAGATATTTATTGAATGTTTTGGTTAACGTGACAGAGTATTTATGGTTTGATATTTAGGTGATTTAGAACATTGCAATGATACTATATTTTGATATTTTATGTATTTAACTAAAGTATATTTTATGAATAACTACCATTAAAGGTTTTCAAACATTTTTTTATTTTATATATAGCATCATTACAAAACTTATGTACATATTTAATGCCCATGATAGTACACGCAGTTTGTCATAAGGGCAGGCACTACATATTCTCATTATGTTCAGAGGGAAGAACGCTTCTTTCGCGTTTTTATGTGTCTGTATGCCATTAAAAACCCAGCTGATTTTGAAAGCATTTGAAATTTGTGTGACTTAAATAGTAGGCAAGAAGCATCAATGAGCTGTAAAAATACAACTTGTTTTTATGCCCAGTTTAATTATTGATTGAATAGGAGAAAAAGATATTTTTCTGTAAAAATAAATTGATGTGAAATGCTACAAAAAATGTGAAAAATTTGCTTGTTTGTTTGGTTTTCTTACATAAACAACATGATGTGGTTTATAAATATTTTTCCAAATTGACATCAAGTTTATGGTGTTTGAGGTCAAACAGTCCTCTTCCGCATACACAGCAATAACTTCAATGGAATATTTTTCATGAAAACTTGTATCCATATACACTATATTGGTGAACGGGTCAGATGTAATGTTTCATTATAACACTTTTATTAGCACCAATATCCACCTTATAATGAGGTACTCTGAGAGACATCCATAACTTTTGTCACATTTACCCAGCATGCTGTTCTGCATGGTACACTTGTGTTGATATTAAACATCGGAATCCAGCTCTACGAAGAACCGCGTTATAACGAGGTTAAGTGTTATGCTGTATTCCAGACACCTAGCTTTGACAGGCGGCTTTACAATCAATAGCACACATTAATACCTTGGTGGCTAGCAAGGAGAGGCATTCTCCAGTCAAGCTCTAGCAAAACTCCTTGCAGCTTCCATGGTTGAAGCAACAGCGTGACTCATAGTGATAGATTGATGCAAGAGCTGAGGAGCTCTCGGTGCTAACCAAACCAGTTGACCATTCCCTGCAACGAGTTCCCCAGCATCAATTGTGGCTTGGCGAGGTCAGTTCTCTTCATCCGGAACACAGGTAAAAAATGGAATGCGATTCTACAGATTATGGGGAGTCGGCATGTGATTTTTTTGTGTTGATGGTTATTGGGTGGATTTGTGATAGTTACGATGTTGTGAAGTTCTATTATGATTCTGGTGCTGTGGTGCCGTGAGTTGGTGGTGTTTTGGGGAATATAATGTGTTGATGGGTCTCGGATTAGGCTTGTCACTGAGTGACAGATTTGCACGTTTTAGTGGTCTAAAAAAAGTCATGTAAACATGCCGAAATTATAAAGCTGATAATCAAATTAGTTGATACAGAACAGGAAATTGGAATTAGTTGGGTAAATATTTCAGAGTTTCCTTCAAGAGATTACTGTTTGTCAGCGGAAGTTCCTTAATAGGTCATCAGCTGATTGATTGGATCGTCAGGGAAGTTGTTTTTTTTGTAACATTCAGGAAATTGTTTTTGAGTTGTGTGAAAAACAATTCAAGATGATTATACAGATTTTACCCTTAACTTTTTTAACAGGTTGATAAATGGCTTCCTTCGATAAGGAAGTTTATAAGTCTGGGCATGAGACGAGCGATATACAAGGGGACTGTTTATTACAAATTTCCGTACTCAGTCGTGATAAAATTAGTTTTGACACTCATGATACAAAGAATTTGATATGTGTAGTTAATGCTTCAACTTCACATGACCACTATATTGAGACATATATCATATCATGATCAAGTGTGTCAGGATATGTATCATATCTTGACCAGTATATGGAGATATATATCATATCATGATCAAGTGTGTCAGGATATGTATCATATCTTGACCAGTATATGGAGATATATATCATATCATGATCAAGTGTGTCAGGATATGTATCCTATCTTGACCAGTATATGGAGATATATATCATATCATGATCAAGTGTATCAGGATACGTATCATATCTTGATCAGTATGTGGAGATATATATCATATCATGATCAAGTGTGTCAGGATATGTATCATATCTTGACCAGTATATGGAGATATATATCATATCAGGATCACTGTATCAGGATACGTATTGTATCTTGACTAGTATATGGAGATATATATCATATCATGATCAAGTGTATCAGGAAACGTATCATATCTTGATCAGTATATTGAGATATATATCATATCATGATCACTGTATCAGGATACGTATCGTATCTTGACCAGTATATGGAGATATGTTTTTTATCGTGGCAAGTGTATCGGGATATGTATCGTATCTCAACCAGTATATGGAGATATGTATCTTAACGCGGCAAGTGTATCGGGATATGTATTGTATCTGGACAAGTATATCCACATATGTTTTGTATCGGAAACAGTATTTTTTTTTTTTTTTGGAATATTTTGGCGACTAATTGGTTGGATTCAAATGTCAAATGGCAACTGTCATTTATATTGTGAAATGTCCATTTTGTATATATGTGTAGGACTCTCCATAGCCATTGATAGAAGGTCTCTCAATCTGTGACAGAATATCTAAATATGTTTCCTATATTCACACCTGATATGAACGGAATAGCCCAGGTGAAACAGATGCTTCTGTAATATTAATCAACCTTACTTTCATTTCTACATTTACATGCAAGCAATGTGATTTATGATTCGGAAGGAAATTGAAATGCAAATATTTTCATTGGCATTAATAGCTAATTAATATTGATAGAGGTTTACCAAAAACAGAATAATAGTTTTTGTACTGAACAAAACAAATTGGGGATAATGAATATTTTGGAGGATATTTTTTATGAAATTATGTGCTTGGTCTTCATTACAAAAACTTGTCCCTCCAAATATTCAGGATCCCAAACTTTGTTCTGTAAATATGCGTACAGATTCTGAATGAGAATGGATGAAAATAATTTACGTTAGTCCTGAGTGATGCTCAAGATTATAGTTGTTTAAATCATTCAGTTTATCAAACTTATAGATTGCATGCTAGATATAACTGATATTTCTATTCTGGTGAAAATAACACACATAGTTCAGTGTGTCAGTGGATAATTTCCTTCAGACTAATCAGTGTCTGTAATAGGCTTGGTTTAGCTTGTGCGATTATTTTCCATTGCTGCATATGTGAAATATGCAATATGTGGTTGACCTGGGACCCCATGTTCATTCCCGGGACCCCAAATATTATTACCCAGAGTCCCCTGGTTTGGACACTAGAGGATAAACCCTAGATGATGTAGATAGGGAGGTACACAAGCGAATACAACAAGGTCCCTTTGATGATGTTGCTGTGCCAGATTAGCGTTGGAGGATTCACGATGGCATGTGTGATGCATGTGTGTTGCATGTGCGATGCATGTCACAGCTGTACATGGTGCTCCTCATCTCTTCCCACCAACCCCATCCCCCTTCTCCTTTCTCCTCACCTTCATCCCTTTCCCCACCACCACCACCTCTTCTCTCCTCCTCCTTCCCCCCGAGGCCCCCATCTTTACCCCTTTCCCCACCACCACCACCTCTTCTCTCCTCCTCCTTCCCACCTGAGGCCCCCATCTTTACCCCTTTCCCCACCACCTCTTCTCTCCTCCTCCTTCCCCCCTGAGGCCCCCATTATCTTCTCCCCCCTCATCCCTCCCTCTTCTCCTCCTCTCTCCCCCCCCCCCCCCCCCTTGTTTTAGCTCTAGGATACTGCTTGTTTTAGCTCTAGGATACTGCTTGTTCTAGCTCTAGGATACAGCTTGTTATGGTATCAAACAGATGCTCAACTAACGCACAGCTTGTCATTGATGGAGAGTCTTGGTTATTGTTAATAAATATAAGTAGTTTTTATGTAAAATATTATTTCTCAGTGTATAAAAGATGTTCGTAGGTGATCAATATTGTCATATTTTATTGTAGGAAAAACATGTTCATGGCATTCCATTGACACAAGTGTAAATGTTGTCTAGAAATAAACTAACCGAACGACATCATTCTGAGTGCTATTGTCTAGAAATAGACAGATTGTGTGACCGGCCTAGAACTCTACTCCAGTGAGTGGACACAAGGCCATGCTGCCATCTGCAGGTACTTAATTGTAATGCCAGACGTTGATAATGCACCACATGTGTGCTATGTAAGGCAACAATGCTGCAGGCCGGACAACTTTCTCCGCTTTCCATTCACCATCCACATGTATACAGTCTGTCACCCTGTTTACTGGCATCCGGTAGCCTAGTGGGCAAAGTGTTTGCTTGTCTTATCTAAGACCTGTTTCATTCCCACACTGTGACTTGGTTGATTACATGGTGTGGATCAATGCTCATATTATCAATCACTGAATTGTCTCGTACAGACTAATTCATTTCATATACCGGAATAATCGCTACGTGAGATGTCGACCAACAAATCCACCAACCAATCAAAAAGGAGGCGTGCACCCCAATCGGATAAGAATGAACATTAGTCACATGCTGTCCCTGATTATCCTCATTGATCCATGAGCACCTTAGGGATGGTCGGGTAGCCTAGTGGTTAAAGCGTTCGCTCGTCATGCCGAAGACCCGGTTCGATTCCCGACATGGGTACAATGTGTGAAGCCCATTTCTGGTGTCCCCCGCCGTAATATTGCTGGAATATTGCTAAAACCGACATAAAACCATACTCACTCACTCACTCATGAGCACCTTATGTCAGAGTGTAGTTTTCACAAAATTGGATTAAAAAAGATGTGACAAGGTTGCATTGATGTTTCAATGCTCACTAAGCCGCAGTGCCATTATATAGAGATGCAGTTTCAATGAATTGATATGTCCTGGGAGACAGCTTGATATCACCCTAGCGATATCGCCTGAGGAGGCCAGTTTTAGATGACAAACGACTGAAATACTCTTCATATCGATGGTAAGCAGTGTTTGAAATAATTTTAACACCCAACACGATGGTTGGGCAGGTGACCCATAAATGTTGCCTGCCATCTTCAAAGTTACCTGCCCGCATTCAGACATTATAAATATTGAAAAATCACTAAAATAAGAGACAAATCACGCCTTGATTCAGTTGCAAACAATTTATTGAGGATGTACAAGGAGTTGTAATAAAACTGAAGATGTAGGCAGTCTTAAAATTATGTGCCGAGACAGTCAGGCATTGGGGAAAATTTCCTGCAGCCCGACAGAAAAGTTACCAGCCACGGGCAGGTGGGCAGGCAGTTTTTTGGGACACTGATGGGAAGACCAACTCACGTCTTCCTATCCTCAGGTTACTGCAGCTGTTATGACTCATCACACAATCAACATGATCAACCTGGTTAAGCTTAAAATTATTCACAACGCTTGTCGGTTGACATATATCGTTGTAAGGGACACACTTTTTGTAGGTGTTGTGCTCATTAATAATTCTGGTAGTAAACAGGCCCTACTTAGGATCTATTTCATGTCAGATCCCATGAATATTTCTTATTGGTGTCTCCACTTGCTTATCAAATTGTAAATATTGGCTGCATTTCTGTGCAGAGTGGCGTCCCTTTGGTGTACCAGAATCCTATGATGATGAGTTTGAATCCTAAATTCACACTGATAATGTTTGTCAGCACCATTGTCAGCACCATACCCATGTGCGTTGGTTTCACCAGAGCTGCGTCTAGGGGCATGCATTCTTCCCACATGAAGTTACTGTTCAAAGTAGTGTCTCACCCAACTCACTCACTCACTCACTCACCCAACTCACCCAACTCACTCACTCACTCACTCACTCACTCACTCACCCACCCACCCACCCACCCACTCACTCACTCACTCACTCACTCACTCACCCACTCACTTGTGATAATTTAGAAAAACAAGGGCCCATTGTGACAAGCCCTTTCTTGGTGTGTCATGCTCGTCTGGATGCAGTGTTAAAAGTGAAACTCACTACATGAGGTTGGTATTGAAAGGCCACTTTCAGTACTCCATGGGGGTACAGTGTCACTCATTTGCTCGCTCACTCATTCATTCGCTCGCTCACTCATTCATTCGCTCACTCACTCACTCACACACTCACTCACTCACTCACTCACTCAC